TCTGACAGGTACTTCTCTCTTCTTGTAGTCATATAGCGCCCTCTTGTGCATCCCAGAAGTCAATACAGGAACATTTATTTTAGTGTTACAGGATATATGCAGGAATACTGAAACCCTGATCAAAATAATGTATTAAAAGGTTATTCTATACTATGACACTTTTCAGACATACTATATTATAACTGTTTTTCCAAATGTTCGACCTGCATAATTATATATTTCTTCATGTTTTTAAGACTTTTTCAGTACACTATAACTTAGTATGACGTTTTTTTGAACTACTATATATTTATTTTTACATACTATAATATTTTTCGACATACTATTTCATGATTTTTTAGACTTACTTTATTATAAATGGACATACTGTAAGATAAAATCAGCTTTAAACTTTTTTTTAAGGCCCTGTGGAGATATGTTCTGACATTTTCTGAAGAATGGCAAGCTATTACTTTTTAATAAATAGCAATTAGGTAGGAGAAACACCACTGAAATCCTTATAGAAGTAGTTGGTCTGAAGTTTTTGCTAATGTAAGATATTGGGAATGTTAATTGTCTTAAACTTCATTACGCAGCAGTGGTTGATCTAGTCAGAGCCTTTTGACAGCTTGGTCTCTATCATAGTAGCTGTGAAGTAGCACCACCTGGTGGAGCTTGAGTAAAAAGCAGCAACAGGTTTGTTTTTCAAGCATCTCTTGAATCGTAATCTTTATCAAATCAGTCTTAAAACCACTTAACTTTAAAGACTACTCTCATCTTACTTTTAATCCTGCAAACTTCCCCTACTAGTCATATTCTGCAGTTTTAAAGAAGGGCAGGACAATATGTTTGATGCTATTAAAGGTGGGGTAGGTAAGTTTGAGAAACCGGCTCGAGATACACTTTGTGTTATATTCCATGGAATGCTCTTAACATCCCGATAGCAATGAATATCTTAAGTGCTTTGACAAAAAATCAATTAAAAAAAATGTCATCTGTGGAAGCCGTAGTACTGTAAAAAGTACGACCAATCATTTTAGCCGGACCGGCTAAAATAACTGGATGGATTTACCTACCCCACATTTAACCTGTTAAGCCCTAAGCCTGTTTTTCAGGTTTCAGGCTCGAAAATGCCACTAACACAACAAAGACTATATCTTCATTTCTAAAAGGGGTAAATTAATAATATGTTTTCTCAAAGCAAGGTTACATCTGTGAGTTGGATGTAGAAGTGTCAGAATCAATATAGATGTTTTTATTTTAAAATAAATTCATATGGAACATAGTAAAAACATGTAAATTCTATCTCCGCCTAAAAAAAACCCCATTACTTATAGTGAAAACCACCCTTGAATGATGGGTTAGTAGACTAAAAGCTTTAGGAATCCAAACTATAACATAATACGTACCCTGTATCAAGATTGATGCAAAACAAGTGACATTTGACCTTTTAGAGAGGTTTAGAAAAATAAAGTCCAGGCGGACTCACCTCTGGGTAATTTGGGAACCATCAGTTCCATTTTCACTGTAAAAATCATTTTATTACTTTGAATTATCACTATAGGTATTCATTCCATCCAAATACAACTGTTGTAAAAAAAACCAATTAAAAAACAAAAACATGCAAAATGAAGTTTGACTCCAATTGGAGCAGATTTATTTAAAACTTTACAATGTTACAACTTAGGCATGCCACTCCTCGTAACATTTTTTTTGGAAGTGAAGCACAGAGGGACCTCACACTTCCTGCAGTACACAGCTGTCTTCACCTTCTTTTTGCCAGCATCATGGCAGTTCCTGCAGTTCTTCCTGATACTGACATCTTTCCCATAAACTTGGGCCCGCATGGTGGTGGTGGGGGGCCGGGGGGGGATCGTGGGTGGAGGTGTTCCAAATTCCAACATTTCAGAAGCAAGCTGCTCCCTGAAAGTCTTCTGTGTGTGTGGCTTTGTCCCGTTGGGGTCACTCGTCATCTTGTGCAGCTCCTTGTGGAGAATGAAGCTGTTCATCACGGCAATGTCCACAAAATGGTAAAAAAAAGTCTTGTACCATTTCATCGTTTTGTGGAGAAGGCTGCGTTTTACACATTTATCTGATGCTTTTCCTTTTCCTGGCTGAGGAGCGGGAGCCCCACCTCGGCCACGCTTCCTTTGGTTTACAGATGCATCTGACGCTGCAGAAAGCTGGTAGAAACCAGACGATGGTAGCTTTGGAAGTGAGTGCTTTTTGGATGCAGGCTGAGTGGCCAATACTGGTGCAGATCTCTTTCTAGAAGTTGAGGAATGTGAGGGTGTGGCAGGTGTGGGCTGGGTGAAAGTAGGCAATGGTGAAGCCATTTCATCCTCATCTCCATCACTATGAAAACAAATGTGGAAAAACAAAGAGATTAGATGAATTCCTGTAATTCCTGTTTCCTTGGCAGTAAACATGCCATTTTGAGTGTGTGAATGCAATACATTAGTGACTATATGAACACTGGCCTATACTTTTAGTAAATGTAACAGACAAGAAACACTATTTGGTATTTTTGTAAATAATCCCTCTAACTCCTGCCAAACATGCCATTTTGAGTGTGTGAATGCAATACATTTAGTGACTATAGATGAACACTGGCCTATACTTTTAGTAAATGTAACAGACAAGAAACACTATTTTTGTAAATAATCCCTCTTCCTGCCAAACATACCATTTTGAGCGTACATTACATTTAGCAGACGCTTTTATTTACTATATGAATAATCGTACACCAAATAAATAAGTAATAGATAAAAACAGAGAGATTACATACCTTTCCCGTGGTGGAATTTCATCATCAGAGTCACAACGCTCCGGGTTCCGTTCTGGCTGCAGGAAATCCTCGTCGTCTGACTCAGAATCAACGGGTAACATATCTGCATCGCTGTCAACATTAGTCACCATTTCCATTGCCTGTAAAGTAGTAAGCATCTCTTTCCTGCAAGCCATTATTTGACAAAAGTCAAAGTATAGAAAAAGTCCTAAACGCCAATCTTTTAATCTGCTCCGTTATCTGCTGTCCGCTCTGTGCGCTCTGGGTCCTGCTGCTGCTGCAATTCCTGTTGTTTACGTAGTAAACACGGCGTAGAGTCTGCTGAGTAATGGGTGTGCCGCTGGCATTCACAATTTATACTTTACGCAGGACCATATCTATTGAACCCATTGGTCGATTTGAGTGATTTACACCTTTTTCTTAACCATTAGATCCAATAGAATCCGATGGGCGGTTCCAAAATCCACGTAAACATTACCATTGCGGACGTAATAGAGAAGCAAACGAAGCATATCTGAAAGTAAGCCTTGACTGCAAAACTTTATACCCAGTTTATTGCCATAAATATGATGATGGATTATCAGTAAAACATTCTACGTGACACAGACACATTGGATTAACCTTGGGCGGCGTTTTTATTCCGTTGAACACAACTTTTGATCACAAATCAAAAAAGGTAAGATGTAATTATTGTAATATTTTTGAAACCGGATGTTGTTTACTTTCTCTTTTCTGGCTGAAAGCTCCGCAAATTCGGGGTCATACAGTGATGACACTACATGTATGGAATATGTGGAGTCTCAGCTTTAATCGGATATCTTGTTTGTGCAGTTACGATAAGTAATAAGGGCATTTTGAGAGTGAGGGCTGTGCAAAACTCCGTTAGCATTAGTTAGCATTTTTTCGCAAAATTCAAAGGCTTGGTATTACTCTTGTGTTTCTTTTAGCTAAAAATGGTTCATATCTTCAGTTAGCTGAGATTCTTACCGTTAATCTGGTGCTACACATTAATAGTTTCATAAATGTTAAGAAGCCCTGAGACAGTGTCTCAAAAAAAAAAAAGTGGGAGGGGTCCAATGGGGGGATCGCCGTGCTTAGAGGAAGGTTATATTTCAGAAACAGCTGCTGAAGTATTATTCAGCCACACCATGCAGAAAATCCACTGCCATTAGTGTCCTACAACAACCTTGTACCTCCAAATGGGTACCTCAACATTTCAAGATCCAGCTTGTTTGACAATTCTCCATTATAGTTATTAAAGTCATTGATTAAGTATGGAATGTCAAAGGTATTTAAAGATATCTGAAAAGCAAGTTGACAAGAAGTCCAACTTTGTCTATTGTTTTGTAAGTGATAAGGTAATGACTTTACAATGTGGATTGAAAACATTTACAAATTCTCAGCGAACAAGGTTTATGAAGGAAACACTTTTTCATCCTTTCCAGAAAAGTCTATGTTACAAGGGTAAATATATATATTATATACTTTAACTAAAACAAATCTAATATTCTCCTAATCATACCACAAATATAATTAGCTTGAATACTGTGAGCACAGGTCTTAATACTATTATCTTTCTCTAAGTATACAGTTAATTAAGAAACACATGTTAAAACACTGAGACCTCAATGTGTAGCCATGATAAGATTTATTGTCCAGAGTCTTACCAATGTACATTAAGTCAGGGTCTCTGAAAATGTAAGGGTTAACGTTTGGAGGGTGCTAAAACGTTGTTTAAAAGTCTGTTACCTTCTTCAAAACTGCACCAGGTAACTTGCAAAGAGGGCTTTACACACTGAAATAAAAACATTGTGAAGTGCAGGTTTAAAGGCTGAGGGCTGTTCTCATTTCTCTGATTGTGCATCCTTTTCTGTGTGTCTTACTGAAGCAACAGGAAGCAAGGAAGAGACATGAGGAGATAGGAGTCGAGGCAACCAAAAAATAAGACATCTATGCTTTGGAGCAATCATTTTAGTCAATTAAATGTAACTGTAATCTGTCCATTGTCACGCCACTTTCTATGTCAATGATTATGAAAGAATACCACCTATCCATACTCTGCTCGAGACATCCTTCCTTCAAAAGTACACTGAGATACATTTCTGGGTCAAAGGCAGGGCGATAGAGGAGACCAAACAAAGAAATGAGAAGAGCGGCAAGATTTGAACATGTGTAGCCCCTTGTAGGAGTGCTCTGTTGAGTGGACAACAAAGGGGAAGCTCTAAGGTAGCAGTTATGCAGCTGCAGCGGGACAGGAGAGAGGCTGCACTCCTTTAATCTCCAGAGCCTTGTTGAACTGCACCTCCATGGTCTTAGAAGCTTTGGTGATCTTCAGGTTCCTCATACAACCTCTGAAGGAAAGTGCTGGTGGAGAGAGCCGCCTGCCGAACTCCACCTGAGAGAGAAAGAAAAACAGGACCTCTCACATATTTGTATTTAAAGGTCCCCTATTATACTGTTTTTCATCAATATATTATAGGTCTCAGATATATACAAACATGTCTCTGAAGTGTTTGGCTCCGAATACCAAACAGATCATTGCAGCATTACCCATAATCCCCTCTGTTTCAGCCCTGTTTCAAAAGTGCTGATTCTCTGTCTGTTACTTTAGATCAGGGGTGTCAAACTCAATTTCATCCCGGGCCACATCAGCATTATGGTTGCACTCAAAGGGCCGGTTGTAATTTGTATTATATATAAATATATGTAAATATATAATATATATTAAATAATGTATTATATTACATTGTTGGCCCTGGATTGGATTATTATCAGTTCTGGTAATATCTTCCTAAATAAGTACGTCTGAAAGCAGAACTCTAGGGCAAATAATTGAAAGCAAATATTCAACAATTACACCAATTGTATTGTATATTATATTCTTTGCAAGCTCTTGCGGGCCACATAAAATGAGGTCGCGGGCCGGATTTGGCCCCCGGGCCTTGAGTTTGACACCCCTGCTTTAGATGAAAATAAAGAGCCCCTCCCCGAGATATTTGGTTACAAAGAACACAATGGTGCTCTAGGAGGAGATTCAGGTGATAAGGTGGGGGGGGGTGTTACCTTGGTTGGTGATTGGCTAATGATTACTCAAGCCAAACAATCGTTATGACATCATAAAGTGGCCAAAATCTGATCAGCTCATTTTCAGACAGGTTTTTATATAAATGGATCAGGACAAAAAGTGAGAGAATCTTTTTTCCTGAAACTTTAAGAATCTCTTTACAGAGAGGGGACACATGTTGATGTAGAAAAGACATGAAAAAGTGGATTTTGCATAATAGGTGACCTTTAAAGTTGCTCTTTGATCCACAAAATGTACTAATACTAATGTGTTTTCAATGTATACTAAGGTATAATACTGAGTATGTGAGTTAGAAAGCAGTCGTACCTGGATATCCTCCGACGTAGATGGGTCGTTTGTGTCACACGTGTTGGAGCGAGCGTTGGGGCTCTCTGATTGGCTCTGCTTCTCGTCCACCACCAGCTCCATGCGGTGCCGCAGCTTCTTGGCAGTGACCGAGTGCCACTGGCCGTCGCAGAAGCCCTCGCCCTCAGGCACGTGCTCCGCTGTGATTCGTCCAGCTCCGTTGTCAACGTGGAAGAGCAGCTGGTGACAGGAAGGGGAAGAAATGCTTGTTTTAAACGATATTTTTGAGATGTTATGCATATGTATCTAAGTACATGTTTTGTTCAGTGATACTTTAAACAATTTAAAAAAACATATATTGTACCAAGCTATTGCTAGGACAAGCTCAGTCGTTACTTCTAAAGTAGATTAAAGGAATAATTCACCCTTCACACTTATTTGTTTTCTGGTTAAGATTGAGATGAGAAAGTAATACTTCTTGTATGATAGGTTGGACAGGACAGCTGTTTCCAGTTCTTTTGATCTATTATTTAACAGTCGCTTTTTCTTCTCAATTTCTAGTGGAAATTGAATAACAATTTCCCCAAATGTTGGATTCCTTTCGTCAATGTTACGTACCTTGCCCTCGACAATCTCTAGTCCCAGTCCATCGTTGGCTTGGTTACTGATGCCCAAAAGCACCCCATTGGTTCTGCTGGTCCTGAACTCTAAGGCTATCGACACATCCAGACCCACTCTGTAGGAAGAGACTAGAGAGAGGGAAGGATGCATTAATGTTCACCTTTCATAACAAGAACATTACATTTTACCTGAGAAAAAGTAGAATCAGATTTTTGCTGAGGAACAAGTTTGCAAGCGACGTCTCAGTGTCTCCTCTCACCTGCTTTCAGGAAGCCAGTGCCTTCAAAGTAGGTGCCCGTCTCCGTAGCAACAAAGCATCTTCCCACCATGTGACTGGAGGAAGGCGTGGCCATGTCCAATTTAAAGTCCTCAATGACAGCCTCAGCGCGGCCTAGCAGAGAGACAAAGTAATCAGTTGAATACATTCCTGTCAGTGAGTTCCTAATTTGCCACATCACGTTCCTCCCTTAGTGACTGTCTCCTTACGTTTTGCACGACACTGTTTCAGAATGATTTACTGGGAAGCATGTAACCCACGTGTCTCTTTCTCTTCCTGCCTCTTCTCTTTCCATTTAGGACCACATCTACAAACTGATGAAAAGTGACAGCTACACATGCTTCCTGCGCTCCAACGTGTACCAGGACCTGCTGATGGCAAAGAAGAAAGTAAGCATGTCTGTCTGTGTTTGTCCCACAGGTCGATCTCTCTGCACATCACTGATATACTCAATGTGTGATTACACACGGCAGGAAGTGAGGTCATATACCAGGCAGGTCGCTTTGTAAGGAGGCAGGAATGAGAGGTCTTTTTTTTTTACGTTATGTATTGACTTGGGTTGTCCCTACATGAACGTTGCTCAAAATACTAACCCATGTTTTTACAGGCAGACGAGAATACACAAAATAAAGAAACATGTCCTCTCTTAATCTGTAATAATGTGAACAAATCTGCTCAAGTGTGTGAGATTCATACGCTATTTAAACACTGAATTGTTGAACTGTTCCTCTTGTGATTTTTCTCTTGGACTCTCAGCCTGAAACGGAGCAGGGCCGACGCACCTCTCTGGAGAAGTTCACTCGCAGTGTGGTGAGTGTCCCTCTGCTTATAACTCTTCAACTGCATTCATTCAATTACAAAGAGTTGTTTTTTTCAAAAGTCAGCAGATTGACATATTATAGCATTTCTGTTTTTTGCTATACAATGACTTTCTTTTCAATTTCTTTACATACTATTGACCTTTTCATGATATTTTGTAACAAACTGTACTATGACGTTTTACACATTTTTCGACATGCTACACTATGACTTTTTTAAGACAATTTTAAGATATGCTACACCATGACTGATTGACCTAACCATTTCAGACAAACTAGTTCATGACATTTATCATGATTTTTTGTGACGTAGTATACTATGAGTTTTTTTTCAAATGTCTCAACATGCTACAGTATACTATGACGTTTTTTCTACATACTATACAATGACTTTTTCATGATATCTTTTAACATGCTATACTATGACGTTTTTCAAAATTTTCAATATATTATATTTTTTTAATATTACTTTTTCAATGTACTTTATTATGTCTAAATACTATTACTTTTTCAGATTTTCCACATAGTACTACAATGCCTTTTTAAATTCTTTAACTTTGTCATGACTGCTCCACCGAGGCATTTTCTTGTGGTATCATTATGATGTACTTGTGGTACATCATATGTTGTCCACTAACCACCCAGCACCAACGCTTTGATACGTCTCTGCAGTCTTTCTTTTCTTTAACTTTTCCTCCCACACTGCTCCTTCGTTAAGCTCTTAAGGTGACAGCTGTCCCCCTCCCTCCCTTTATCTCTCTGCCTCCCATCAGGGCAAGTCGCTGACGGGCAAACGGCTGACGGGCCTCATGCAGTCGTCCTGACCAGGCTTGGATGAAGAGTAGGAGGAACCGTACCCAGAAGAGCTGCTTGCCCCTGGGGAGCAGCTGGAAAAAGACCCTGGGGTGTTTGGGTGTGGCTTTGGGAGGCGGATGATGGCGCCAAAACGAGCCCAGACTGCCACCATGTTTGAAACTCACCTCAGATCTGTTGAAGAGGACTGACAGCATGCAATAAGTCACCAGACCTGACACCAGGACAGTGCTGTCACAGTGTAGAGGAAAAAACAATCTTCTTAGGAGCTTTCTACTCAAAAGCCTGCACCACGCCAGGCTTTGTTGTCACTCTTTGTTTTTCTGTACTATCTACACACATGTTGCTATATGGTGGCTGGAGAGGCTTTACTTTCAGTGATATAAACATGGAATGCAAATGAGACTTAGATTAATGCTGTAGCTAGCTGTTTTATCTCACGTCATTCCCTAGGATGATATAAGGGAAAGAGAGTGACGAAGTATACATATCCGCACTCTCGAGCTGAACTTCTGCTCATTCCACACATTGATGTTCAAACAGGTGGAGTAGGCAAATTAGCTTTTTGATCACTGTCCTTATGTGGGATGGCACAAGATTGAAAATGTGGTTTAGTCGGTTACAATGTGTGTTTACATGTCCTTCAAACTAATGCCTGTTTTCATGCTCATTACAGACAAAAACTACAGAACTTTATATTATTTCCTGTAAACACCTTGACCTGCTCTGGTACAGTAGGTTGTTCCTGGAAAGCAACCTATTTTCGTTTCACACCTATGACACACACAACATATTCTATATCTATTTCTTAGGTTATTTAACATATCTACAACAATTCTACTTTCATGTGTTATCACTGCCACTGTCATTTTGAACGAGAATGTCTTTAAAACATTGTACAAACCACGCTGAACAAACAGAGGTGTGATCTTGTTTTCATCACAAGGTAAGAGCAGGTTGATCATATTATAAAAACATAGTGTGTAACTTTTAAATGAGCACGCTGATAGGCTTTAATCTTCTGAACATTCCACTTTAGGCGGCCACAACAAGGTTTATAGTGGACTGACCTCCAACCATCCTCACCTAATGTAAAGAGGACCATGATAATAAATGAGGAATGCACAATGAAGCTGGTCTGTTATTTCATGTTTTTCCATTTAATTCCTCCAGGAGCCTCAAAGGAATCACGAAAAGGAGCAAATAGTCGACTTTTGAACTGTGATCCATCTGACAGGTACTTCTCTCTTCTTGTAGTCATATAGCGCCCTCTTGTGCATCCCAGAAGTCAATACAGGAACATTTATTTTAGTGTTACAGGATATATGCAGGAATACTGAAACCCTGATCAAAATAATGTATTAAAAGGTTATTCTATACTATGACACTTTTCAGACATACTATATTATAACTGTTTTTCCAAATGTTCGACCTGCATAATTATATATTTCTTCATGTTTTTAAGACTTTTTCAGTACACTATAACTTAGTATGACGTTTTTTTGAACTACTATATATTTATTTTTACATACTATAATATTTTTCGACATACTATTTCATGATTTTTTAGACTTACTTTATTATAAATGGACATACTGTAAGATAAAATCAGCTTTAAACTTTTTTTTAAGGCCCTGTGGAGATATGTTCTGACATTTTCTGAAGAATGGCAAGCTATTACTTTTTAATAAATAGCAATTAGGTAGGAGAAACACCACTGAAATCCTTATAGAAGTAGTTGGTCTGAAGTTTTTGCTAATGTAAGATATTGGGAATGTTAATTGTCTTAAACTTCATTACGCAGCAGTGGTTGATCTAGTCAGAGCCTTTTGACAGCTTGTCTCTATCATAGTAGCTGTGAAGTAGCACCACCTGGTGGAGCTTGAGTAAAAAGCAGCAACAGGTTTGTTTTTCAAGCATCTCTTGAATCGTAATCTTTATCAAATCAGTCTTAAAACCACTTAACTTTAAAGACTACTCTCATCTTACTTTTAATCCTGCAAACTTCCCCTACTAGTCATATTCTGCAGTTTTAAAGAAGGGCAGGACAATATGTTTGATGCTATTAAAGGTGGGGTAGGTAAGTTTGAGAAACCGGCTCGAGATACACTTTGTGTTATATTCCATGGAATGCTCTTAACATCCCGATAGCAATGAATATCTTAAGTGCTTTGACAAAAAATCAATTAAAAAAAATGTCATCTGTGGAAGCCGTAGTACTGTAAAAAGTACGACCAATCATTTTAGCCGGACCGGCTAAAATAACTGGATGGATTTACCTACCCCACATTTAACCTGTTAAGCCCTAAGCCTGTTTTTCAGGTTTCAGGCTCGAAAATGCCACTAACACAACAAAGACTATATCTTCACTTCTAAAAGGGGTAAATTAATAATATTTTTTCTCAAAGCAAGGTTACATCTGTGAGTTGGATGTAGAAGTGTCAGAATCAATATAGATGTTTTTATTTTAAAATAAATTCATATGGAACATAGTAAAAACATGTAAATTCTATCTCCGCCTAAAAAAAACCCATTACTTATAGTGAAAACCACCCTTGAATGATGGGTTAGTAGACTAAAAGCTTTAGGAATCCAAACTATAACATAATAAGTACCCTGTATCAAGATTGATGCAAAACAAGTGACATTTGACCTTTTTAGAGAGGTTTAGAAAAATAAAGTCCAGGCGGACTCACCTCTGGGTAATTTGGGAACCATCAGTTCCATTTTCACTGTAAAAATCATTTTATTACTTTGAATTATCACTATAGGTATTCATTCCATCCAAATACAACTGTTGTAAAAAAAACAATTAAAAAACAAAAACATGCAAAATGAAGTTTGACTCCAATTGGAGCAGATTTATTTAAAACTTTACAATGTTACAACTTAGGCATGCCACTCCTCGTAACAATTTTTTTTGGAAGTGAAGCACAGAGGGACCTCACACTTCCTGCAGTACACAGCTGTCTTCACCTTCTTTTTGCCAGCATCATGGCAGTTCCTGCAGTTCTTCCTGATACTGACATCTTTCCCATAAAACTTGGGCCCGCATGGTGGTGGTGGGGGGCCGGGGGGGGATCGTGGGTGGAGGTGTTCCAAATTCCAACATTTCAGAAGCAAGCTGCTCCCTGAAAGTCTTCTGTGTGTGTGGCTTTGTCCCGCTGGGGTCACTCGTCATCTTGTGCAGCTCCTTGTGGAGAATGAAGCTGTTCATCACGGCAATGTCCACAAAATGGTAAAAAAAAGTCTTGTACCATTTCATCGTTTTGTGGAGAAGGCTGCGTTTTACACATTTATCTGATGCTTTTCCTTTTCCTGGCTGAGGAGCGGGAGCCCCACCTCGGCCACGCTTCCTTTGGTTTACAGATGCATCTGACGCTGCAGAAAGCTGGTAGAAACCAGACGATGGTAGCTTTGGAAGTGAGTGCTTTTTGGATGCAGGCTGAGTGGCCATACTGGTGCAGATCTCTTTCTAGAAGTTGAGGAATGTGAGGGTGTGGCAGGTGTGGGCTGGGTGAAAGTAGGCAATGGTGAAGCCATTTCATCCTCATCTCCATCACTATGAAAACAAATGTGGAAAAACAAAGAGATTAGATTAATTCCTGTAATTCCTGTTTCCTTGGCGGTAAACATGCCATTTTGAGTGTGTGAATGCAATACATTAGTGACTATAGATGAACACTGGCCTATACTTTTAGTAAATGTAACAGACAAGAAACACTATTTGGTATTTTTGTAAATAATCCCTCTAACTCCTGCCAAACATGCCATTTTGAGTGTGTGAATGCAATACATTTAGTGCCTATAGATGAACACTGGCCTATACTTTTAGTAAATGTAACAGACAAGAAACACTATTTTTGTAAATAATCCCTCTTCCTGCCAAACATGCCATTTTGAGCGTACATTACATTTAGCAGACGCTTTTATTTACTATATGAATAATCGTACACCAAATAAATAAGTAATAGATAAAAACAGAGAGATTACATACCTTTCCCGTGGTGGAATTTCATCATCAGAGTCACAACGATCCGGGTTCCGTTCTGGCTGCAGGAAATCCTCGTCGTCTGACTCAGAATCAACGGGTAACATATCTGCATCGCTGTCAACATTAGTCACCATTTTCATTGCCTGTAAAGTAGTAAGCATCTCTTTCCTGCAAGCCATTATTTGACAAAAGTCAAAGTATAGAAAAAGTCCTAAACGCCAATCTTTTAATCTGCTCCGTTATCTGCTGTCCGCTCTGTGCGCTCTGGGTCCTGCTGCTGCAATTCCTGTTGAGTAACGGCGTAGAGTCTGCTGAGTAATGGGTGTGCCGCTGGCATTCACATTTAAATACTTTACGCAGGACCATATCTATTGAACCCATTGGTCGATTTGAGTGATTTACACCTTTTTCTTAACCATTAGATCCAATAGAATCCGATGGGCAGTTCCCAAATCCACGTAAACATTACCATTGCGGACGTAATAGAGAAGCAAACGAAGCATATCTGAAAGTAAGCCTTGACTGCAAAACTTTATACCCAGTTTATTGCCATAAATATGATGATGGATTATCAGTAAAACATTCTACGTGACACAGACACATTGGATTAACCTTGAGCGGCGTTTTTATTCCGTTGAACACAACTTTTGATCACAAATCAAAAAAGGTAAGATGTAATTATTGTAATATTTTTGAAACCGGATGTTGTTTACTTTCTCCTTTCTGGCTGAAAGCTCCGCAAATTCGGGGTCATACAGTGATGACACTACATGTATGGAATATGTGGAGTCTCAGCTTTAATCGGATATCTTGTTTGTGCAGTTACGATAAGTAATAAGGGCATTTTGAGAGTGAGGGCTGTGCAAAACTCCGTTAGCATTAGTTAGCATTTTTTTCGCAAAATTCAAAGGCTTGGTATTACTCTTGTGTTTCTTTTAGCTAAAAATGGTTCATATCTTCAGTTAGCTGAGATTCTTACCGTTAATCTGGTGCTACACATTAATAGTTTCATAAATGTTAAGAAGCCCTGAGACAGTGTCTCAAAAAAAAAAAGTGGGAGGGGTCCAATGGGGGGATCGCCGTGCTTAGAGGAAGGTTATATTTCAGAAACAGCTGCTGAAGTATTATTCAGCCACACCATGCAGAAAATCCACTGCCATTAGTGTCCTACAAAAACCTTGTACCTCCAAATGGGTACCTCAACATTTCAAGATCCAGCTTGTTTGACAATTCTCCATTATAGTTATTAAAGTCATTGATTAAGTATGGAATGTCAAAGGTATTTAAAGATATCTGAAAAGCAAGTTGACAAGAAGTCCAACTTTGTCTATTGTTTTGTAAGTGATAAGGTAATGACTTTACAATGTGGATTGAAAACATTTACAAATTCTCAGCGAACAAGGTTTATGAAGGACACACTTTTTTCATCCTTTCCAGAAAAGTCTATGTTACAAGGGTAAATATATATATTATATACTTTAACTAAAACAAATCTAATATTCTCCTAATCATACCACAAATATAATTAGCTTGAATACTGTGAGCACAGGTCTTAATACTATTATCTTTCTCTAAGTATACAGTTAATTAAGAAACACATGTTAAAACACTGAGACCTCAATGTGTAGCCATGATAAGATTTATTGTCCAGAGTCTTACAATGTACATTAAGTCAGGGTCTCTGAAAATGTAAGGGTTAACGTTTGGAGGGTGCTAAAACGTTGTTAAAAGTCTGTTACCTTCTTCAAAACTGCAGCAGGTAACTTGCAAAGAGGGCTTTACACACTGAAATAAAAACATTGTGAAGTGCAGGTTTAAAGGCTGAGGGCTGTTCTCATTTCTCTGATTGTGCATCCTTTTCTTGTGTCTTACTGAAGCAACAGGAAGCAAGGAAGAGACATGAGGAGATAGGAGTCGAGGCAACCAAAAAATAAGACATCTATGCTTTGGAGCAATCATTTTAGTCAATTAAATGTAACTGTAATCTGTCCATTGTCACGCCACTTTCTATGTCAAGGATTATGAAAGAATACACCTATCCATACTCTGCTCGAGACATCCTTCCTTCAAAAGTACACTGAGATACATTTCTGGGACAAAGGCAGGGCGATAGAGGAGACCAAACAAAGAAATGAGAAGAGTGGCAAGATTTGAACATGTGTAGCCCCTTGTAGGAGTGCTCTGTTGAGTGGACAACAAAGGGGAAGCTCTAAGGTAGCAGTTATGCAGCTGCAGCGGGACAGGAGAGAGGCTGCACTCCTTTAATCTCCAGAGCCTTGTTGAACTGCACCTCCATGGTCTTAGAAGCTTTGGTGATCTTCAGGTTCCTCATACAACCTCTGAAGGAAGTGCTGGTGGAGAGAGCCGCCTGCCGAACTCCACCTGAGAGAGAAAGAAAAACAGGACCTCTCACATATTTGTATTTAAAGGTCCCCTATTATACTGTTTTTCATCAATATATTATAGGTCTCAGATATATACAAACATGTCGCTGAAGTGTTTGGCTCCGAATACCAAACAGATCATTGCAGCATTACCCATAATCCCCTCTGTTTCAGCCCTGTTTCAAAAGTGCTGATTCTCTGTCTGTTACTTTAGATCAGGGGTGTCAAACTCAATTTCATCCCGGGCCACATCAGCATTATGGTTGCACTCAAAGGGCCGGTTGTAATTTGTATTATATATAAATATATGTAAATATATAATATATATTAAATAATGTATTATATTACATTGTTGGCCCTGGATTGGATTATTATCAGTTCTGGTAATATCTTCCTAAATAAGTACGTCTGAAAGCAGAACTCTAGGGCAAATAATTGAAAGCAAATATTCAACAATTACACCAATTGTATTGTATATTATATTCTTTGCAAGCTCTTGCGGGCCACATAAAATGAGGTCGCGGGCCGGATTTGGCCCCCGGGCCTTGAGTTTGACACCCCTGCTTTAGATGAAAATAAAGAGCCCCTCCCCACGCCCCTCTGAGAGATATTTGGTTACAAAGAACACAATGGTGCTCTAGGAGGAGATTCAGGTGATAAGGTGGGGGGGGTGTTACCTTGGTTGGTGATTGGCTAATGATTACTCAAGCCAAACAATCGTTATGACATCATAAAGTGGCCAAAATCTGATCAGCTCATTTTCAGACAGGTTTTTATATAAATGGATCAGGACAAAAAGTGAGAGAATCTTTTTTCCTGAAACTTTCAGAATCTCTTTACACAGAGGGGACACATGTTGATGTAGAAAAGACATGAAAAAGTGGATTTTGCATGATAGGTGACCTTTAAAGTTGCTCTTTGATCCACAAAATGTACTAATACTAATGTGTTTTCAATGTATACTAAGGTATAATACTGAGTATGTGAGTTAGAAAGCAGTCGTACCTGGATATCCTCCGACGTAGATGGGGTCGTTTGTGTCACACGTGTTGGAGCGAGCGTTGGGGCTCTCTGATTGGCTCTGCTTCTCGTCCACCACCAGCTCCACGCGGTGCCGCAGCTTCTTGGCAGTGACCGAGTGCCACTGGCCGTCGCAGAAGCCCTCGCCCTCAGGCACGTGCTCCGCTGTGATTCGTCCAGCTCCGTTGTCAACGTGGAAGAGCAGCTGGTGACAGGAAGGGGAAGAAATGCTTGTTTTAAACGATATTTTTGAGATGTTATGCATATGTATCTAAGTACATGTTTTGTTCAGTGATACTTTAAACAATTTAAAAAAACATATATTGTACCAAGCTATTGCTAGGACAAGCTCAGTCATTACTTCTAAAGTAGATTAAAGGAAAAATTCACCCTTCACACTTATTTGTTTTCTGGTTAAGATTGAGATGAGAAAGTAATACTTCTTGTATGATAGGTTGGACAGGACAGCTGTTTCCAGTTCTTTTGATCTATTATTTAACAGTCGCTTTTTCTTCTCAATTTCTAGTGGAAATTGAATAACAATTTCCCCAAATGTTGGATTCCTTTCGTCAATGTTACGTACCTTGCCCTCGACAATCTCTAGTCCCAGTCCATCGTTGGCTTGGTTACTGATGCCCAAAAGCACCCCAGTGGTTCTGCTGGTCCTGAACTCTAAGGCTATCGACACATCCAGACCCACTCTGTAGGAAGAGACTAGAGAGAGGGAAGGATGCATTAATGTTCACCTTTCATAACAAGAACATTACATTTTACCTGAGAAAAAGTAGAATCAGATTTTTGCTGAGGAACAAGTTTGCAAGCGACGTCTCAGTGTCTCCTCTCACCTGCTTTCAGGAAGCCAGTGCCTTCAAAGTAGGTGCCCGTCTCCGTAGCAACAAAGCATCTTCCCACCATGTGACTGGAGGAAGGCGTGGCCATGTCCAATTTAAAGTCCTCAATGACAGCCTCAGCGCGGCCTAGCAGAGAGACAAAGTAATCAGTTGAATACATTCCTGTCAGTGAGTTCCTAATTTGCCACATCACGTTCCTCCCTTAGTGACTGTCTCCTTACATTTTGCACGACACTGTTTCAGAATGATTTACAGAAGCCCTGGGAAGCATGTAACCCACGTGTCTCTTTCTCTTCCTGCCTCTTCTCTTTCCATTTCGGACCACATCTACAAACTGATGAAAAGTGACAGCTACACATGCTTCCTGCGCTCCAACGTGTACCAGGACCTGCTGATGGCAAAGAAGAAAGTAAGCATGTCTGTCTGTGTTTGTCCCACAGGTCAATCTCTCTGCACATCACTGATATACTCAATGTGTGATTACACACGGCAGGAAGTGAGGTCATATACCAGGCAGGTCGCTTTGTAAGGAGGCAGGAATGAGAGGTCTTTTTTTTTACGTTATTTATTGACTTGGTTTGTCCCTACATGAACGTTGCTCAAAATACTAACCCATGTTTTTACAGGCAGACGAGAATACACAAAATAAAAGAAACATGTCCTCTCTTAATCTGTAATAATGTGAACAAATCTGCTCAAGTGTGTGAGATTCATACGCTATTTAAACACTGAATTGTTGAACTGTTCCTCTTGTGATTTTTCTCTTGGACTCTCAGCCTGAAACGGAGCAGGGCCGACGCACCTCTCTGGAGAAGTTCACTCGCAGTGTGGTGAGTGTCCCTCTGCTTATAACTCTTCAACTGCCTTCATTCAATTACAAAGAGTTGTTTTTTTCAAAAGTCAGCAGATTGACATATTATAGCATTTCTGTTTTTTGCTATACAATGACTTTCTTTTCAATTTCTTTACATACTATTGACCTTTTCATGATATTTTGTAACAAACTGTACTATGACGTTTTACACATTTTTCGACATGCTATACTATGACTTTTTTAAGACAATTTTAAGACATGCTACACCATGACTGATTGACCTAACCATTTCAGACAAACTAGTTCATGACATTTATCATGATTTTTTGTGACGTAGTATACTATGAGTTTTTTTTCAAATGTCTCAACATGCTATACTATGACGTTTTTTCTACATACTATACAATGAGTTTTTCATGATATCTTTTAACATGCTATACTATGACGTTTTTCAAAATTTTCATTATATTATATTTTTTCAACATCCTATATTATTACTTTTTCAATGTACTTTATTATGTCTAAATACTATTACTTTTTCAGATTTTCCACATAGTACTAGAATGCCTTTTTTAATTCTTTAACTTTTTCATGACTGCTCCACCGAGGCATTTTCGTGTGGCATCATATGTTGTCCACTTACCACCCAGCACCAAAGCTTTGATACATTTCTGCAGTCTTTCTTTTCTTTAACTTTTCCTCCCACACTGCTCTTAAGGTGACAGCTGTCCCCCTCCCTCCCTTTATCTCTCTGCCTCCCATCAGGGCAAGTCGCTGACGGGCAAACGGCTGACGGGCCTCATGCAGTCATCCTGACCAGGCTTGGATGAAGAGTAGGAGGAACCGTACCCAGAAGAGCTGCTTGCCCCTGGGGAGCAGCTGGAAAAAGACCCTGGGGTGTTTGGGTGTGGCTTTGGGAGGCGGATGATGGCGCCAAAACGAGCCCAGACTGCCACCATGTTTGAAACTCACCTCAGATCTGTTGAAGAGGACTGACAGCATGCAATAAGTCACCAGACCTGACACCAGGACAGTGCTGTCACAGTGTAGAGGAAAAAACAATCTTCTTAGGAGCTTTCTACTCAAAAGCCTGCACCACGCCAGGCTTTGTTGTCACTCTTTGTTTTTCTGTACTATCTACACACATGTTGCTATATGGTGGCTGGAGAGGCTTTACTTTCAGTGATATAAACATGGAATGCAAATGAGACTTAGATTAATGCTGTAGCTAGCTGTTTTATCTCACGTCATTCCCTAGGATGATATAAGGGAAAGAGAGTGACGAAGTATACATATCCGCACTCTCGAGCTGAACTTCTGCTCATTCCACACATTGATGTTCAAACAGGTGGAGTAGGCAAATTAGCTTTTTGATCACTGTCCTTATGTGGGATGGCACAAGATTGAAAACGTGGTTTAGTCGGTTACAATGTGTGTTTACATGTCCTTCAAACTAATGCCTGTTTTCATGCTCATTACAGACAAAAACTACAGAACTTTATATTATTTCCTGTAAACACCTTGACCTGCTCTGGTACAGTAGGTTGTTCCTGGAAAGCAACCTATTTTCGTTTCACAGCTATGACACACACAACATATTCTATATCTATTTCTTAGGTTATTTAACATATCTACAACAATTCTACTTTCATGTGTTATCACTGCCACTGTCATTTTGAACGAGAATGTCTTCAAAGCATTGTACAAACCACGCTGAACAAACAGAGGTGTGATCTTGTTTTCATCACAAGGTAAGAGCAGGTTGATCATATTATAAAAACATAGTGTGTAACTTTTAAATGAGCACGCTGATAGGCTTTAATCTTCTGAACATTCCACTTTAGGCGGCCACAACAAGGTTTATAGTGGACTGACCTCCAACCATCCTCACCTAATGTAAAGAGGACCATGATAATAAATGAGGAATGCACAATGAAGCTGGTCTGTTATTTCATGTTTTTCCATTTAATTCCTCCAGGAGCCTCAAAGGAATCACGAAAAGGAGCAAATAGTCGACTTTTGAACTGTGATCCATCTGACAGGTACTTCTCTCTTCTTGTAGTCATATAGCGCCCTCTTGTGCATCCCAGAAGTCAATACAGGAACATTTATTTTAGTGTTACAGGATATATGCAGGAATACTGAAACCCTGATCAAAATAATGTATTAAAAGGTTATTCTATACTATGACACTTTTCAGACATACTATATTATAACTGTTTTTCCAAATGTTCGACCTACATAATTATATATTTGTTCATGTTTTTAAGACTTTTTCAGTACACTATAACTTAGTATGACGTTTTTTTGAACTACTATATATTTATTTTTACATACTATAATATTTTTCGACATACTATTTCATGATTTTTTAGACTTACTTTATTATAAATGGACATACTGTAAGATAAAATCAGCTTTAAACTTTTTTGTAAGGCCCTGTGGAGATATGTTCTGACATTTTCTGAAGAATGGCAAGCTATTACTTTTTAATAAATAGCAATTAGGTAGGAGAAACACCACTGAAATCCTTATAGAAGTAGTTGGTCTGAAGTTTTTGCTAATGTAAGATATTGGGAATGTTAATTGTCTTAAACTTCATTACGCAGCAGTGGTTGATCTAGTCAGAGCCTTTTGACAGCTTGTAGGTGTCTCTATCATAGTAGCTGTGAAGTAGCACCACCTGGTGGAGCTTGAGTAAAAAGCAGCAACAGGTTTGTTTTTCAAGCATCTCTTGAATCGTAATCTTTATCAAATCAGTCTTAAAACCACTTAACTTTAAAGACTACTCTCATCTTACTTTTAATCCTGCAAACTTCCCCTACTAGTCATATTCTGCAGTTTTAAAGAAGGGCAGGACAATATGTTTGATGCTATTAAAGGTGGGGTAGGTAAGTTTGAGAAACCGGCTCGAGATACACTTTTTGTTATATTCCATGGAATGCTCTTAACATCCCGATAGCAATGAATATCTTAAGTGCTTTGACAAAAAATCCATAAAAAAAATGTCATCTGTGGAAGCCGTAGTACTGTAAAAAGTAAGACCAATCATTTTAGCCGGACCGGCTAAAATAACTGGATGGATTTACCTACCCCACATTTAACCTGTTAAGCCCTAAGCCTGTTTTTTAGGTTTCAGGCTCGAAAATGCCACTAACACAACAAAGACTATATCTTCACTTCTAAAAGGGGTAAATTAATAATATGTTTTCTCAAAGCAAGGTTACATCTGTGAGTTGGATGTAGAAGTGTCAGAATCAATATAGATGTTTTTATTTTAAAATAAATTCATATGGAACATAGTAAAAACATGTAAATTCTATCTCCGCCTAAAAAAAAACCCATTACTTATAGTGAAAACCACCCTTGAATGATGGGTTAGTAGACTAAAAGCTTTAGGAATCCAAACTATAACATAATAAGTACCCTGTATCAAGATTGATGCAAAACAAGTGACATTTGACCTTTTTAGAGAGGTTTAGAAAAATAAAGTCCAGGCGGACTCACCTCTGGGTAATTTGGGAACCATCAGTTCCATTTTCACTGTAAAAATCATTTTATTACTTTGAATTATCACTATAGGTATTCATTCCATCCAAATACAACTGTTGTAAAAAAACAATTAAAAAACAAAAACATGCAAAATGAAGTTTGACTCCAATTGGAGCAGATTTATTTAAAACTTTACAATGTTACAACTTAGGCATGCCACTCCTCGTAACAATTTTTTTTGGAAGTGAAGCACAGAGGGACCTCACACTTCCTGCAGTACACAGCTGTCTTCACCTTCTTTTTGCCAGCATCATGGCAGTTCCTGCAGTTCTTCCTGATACTGACATCTTTCCCATAAAACTTGGGCCCGCATGGTGGTGGTGGGGGGCCGGGGGGGGATCGTGGGTGGAGGTGTTCCAAATTCCAACATTTCAGAAGCAAGCTGCTCCCTGAAAGTCTTCTGTGTGTGTGGCTTTGTCCCGCTGGGGTCACTCGTCATCTTGTGTAGCTCCTTGTGGAGAATGAAGCTGTTCATCACGGCAATGTCCACAAAATGGTAAAAAAAAGTCTTGTACCATTTCATCGTTTTGTGGAGAAGGCTGCGTTTTACACATTTATCTGATGCTTTTCCTTTTCCTGGCTGAGGAGCGGGAGCCCCACCTCGGCCACGCTTCCTTTGGTTTACAGATGCATCTGACGCTGCAGAAAGCTGGTAGAAACCAGACGATGGTAGCTTTGGAAGTGAGTGCTTTTTGGATGCAGGCTGAGTGGCCAATACTGGTGCAGATCTCTTTCTAGAAGTTGAGGAATGTGAGGGGTGTGGCAGGTGTGGGCTGGGTGAAAGTAGGCAATGGTGAAGCCATTTCATCCTCATCTCCATCACTATGAAAACAAATGTGGAAAAACAAAGAGATTAGATTAATTCCTGTAATTCCTGTTTCCTTGGCGGTAAACATGCCATTTTGAGTGTGTGAATGCAATACATTAGTGACTATAGATGAACACTGGCCTATACTTTTAGTAAATGTAACAGACAAGAAACACTATTTGGTATTTTTGTAAATAATCCCTCTAACTCCTGCCAAACATGCCATTTTGAGTGTGTGAATGCAATACATTTAGTGCCTATAGATGAACACTGGCCTATACTTTTAGTAAATGTAACAGACAAGAAACACTATTTTTTGTAAATAATCCCTCTTCCTGCCAAACATGCCATTTTGAGCGTACATTACATTTAGCAGACGCTTTTATTTACTATATGAATAATCGTACACCAAATAAATAAGTAATAGATAAAAACAGAGAGATTACATACCTTTCCCGTGGTGGAATTTCATCATCAGAGTCACAACGATCCGGGTTCCGTTCTGGCTGCAGGAAATCCTCGTCGTCTGACTCAGAATCAACGGGTAACATATCTGCATCGCTGTCAACATTAGTCACCATTTTCATTGCCTGTAAAGTAGTAAGCATCTCTTTCCTGCAAGCCATTATTTGACAAAAGTCAAAGTATAGAAAAAGTCCTAAACGCCAATCTTTTAATCTGCTCCGTTATCTGCTGTCCGCTCTGTGCGCTCTGGGTCCTGCTGCTGCAATTCCTGTTGAGTAACGGCGTAGAGTCTGCTGAGTAATGGGTGTGCCGCTGGCATTCACATTTAAATACTTTACGCAGGACCATATCTATTGAACCCATTGGTCGATTTGAGTGATTTACACCTTTTTCTTAACCATTAGATCCAATAGAATCCGATGGGCAGTTCCCAAATCCACGTAAACATTACCATTGCGGACGTAATAGAGAAGCAAACGAAGCATATCTGAAAGTAAGCCTTGACTGCAAAACTTTATACCCAGTTTATTGCCATAAATATGATGATGGATTATCAGTAAAACATTCTACGTGACACAGACACATTGGATTAACCTTGAGCGGCGTTTTTATTCCGTTGAACACAACTTTTGATCACAAATCAAAAAAGGTAAGATGTAATTATTGTAATATTTTTGAAACCGGATGTTGTTTACTTTCTCCTTTCTGGCTGAAAGCTCCGCAAATTCGGGGTCATACAGTGATGACACTACATGTATGGAATATGTGGAGTCTCAGCTTTAATCGGATATCTTGTTTGTGCAGTTACGATAAGTAATAAGGGCATTTTGAGAGTGAGGGCTGTGCAAAACTCCGTTAGCATTAGTTAGCATTTTTTCGCAAAATTCAAAGGCTTGGTATTACTCTTGTGTTTCTTTTAGCTAAAAATGGTTCATATCTTCAGTTAGCTGAGATTCTTACCGTTAATCTGGTGCTACACATTAATAGTTTCATAAATGTTAAGAAGCCCTGAGACAGTGTCTCAAAAAAAAAAAGTGGGAGGGGTCCAATGGGGGGATCGCCGTGCTTAGAGGAAGGTTATATTTCAGAAACAGCTGCTGAAGTATTATTCAGCCACACCATGCAGAAAATCCACTGCCATTAGTGTCCTACAAAAACCTTGTACCTCCAAATGGGTACCTCAACATTTCAAGATCCAGCTTGTTTGACAATTCTCCATTATAGTTATTAAAGTCATTGATTAAGTATGGAATGTCAAAGGTATTTAAAGATATCCAGTGGCGGCCGGTCCATAGGGGCGCTAGGGGCGCCGCCCCACCTCTTCCCATATTGATAAAAATAAATAATAATTAAAATTAAAATAAAAAAAAAAAAATATGTTTAAAAAAATATATATGTTTTTATTTTTATTTTTAATGAACAAGGTAAATATTATATAATTGGTATCAGTAAAATGTATAATCTACAATAAAATCTCGTTTAAAATTGTGTTACGATGTCTAAAGTTACTGATAAGTCACATGTTTCCTGCCTGGCCTTGCCCATGCACCTTCTCTCGTCTGGGCGCTAAGAGAGGAGCCTTCAACCAGTGCAGCAGCAGCCACCAGCAGCTGACTGTTGCTATCTGTAACGTGTAAACTATGCCGCGAAAATATAATTTCAGCCAATTAGCGTCGTCAAAGATGACGGTCACCGGGCGCCAATGTCAGCGCCCAGTGCAGTCTGTGAGTAGTTTGGACAGTGACTCGTATCCGGTTGACGCAGTAGTTGATGAGGATGGCTTCGTGTGCAGGTGGAGTCTCCGGACCTCGGTCCGCGCCTAATTCTGTTCAAGAGCTAATCTCCAATCCTTTCGAAAGGAGAAGTTTGGCAGATAAATTGTTGCTTAAAGACCTTGCACCGGACCAACCCGATTTGAATATATCGCAGCAATCTCGTGAAAAAGACAACATTTATACACGAGGCTTCACAAGTAGCTGGTACACAAGAAAGGCTTGGCTAGCTGGATGCAAACAGGTAAATGCTGTCTTTGTTTCCCATGCTTGGATATCACTTTATATGTAGAGAGGAGGTTTCCCATGGTTGTTAGAAGTTTATTAATAAGTGGGCATTTATCACAGAAGTGATTGTTCTGTCTCCACGTTTGTTGCATTGTCTGTGATGTATTTTCCAACGGTTATAGCTCCTGTTCTGTCCCAGCAACACTACACGGTTTGCAGCTCCACCACATTTTTGGTTTATCTTCGGTGTCGCTTAAAATCTGCTTCCCATCGGACTAAAACCTCCACGTAATCTGAAGACAGATACTTGAAGTTATTTAAACCTTTTGCAAACTTTATGTTCTTTCTTGCTCTAGCCTTGCCAGATACATTGTACATAACACATATATTATCATTATGCTAACTGGTTGTTCGTGTTAGACGATGTAGCTTTTTCATTTCTGAGTTATTGATATATGTAAATAAGCCTGTTTGTAAATAATCCTCAGAGAAACAAAGAAAAAACACAATTTATGACATTTTGTGCTGTGGTTATTTTTTTTAAATTGCATTTATTCACAGTTCAGTTTGAAATGCTGTAGTGACTTGTATTGAACCACTTAAATATTTATAATTAATGCTACTGAAAAGATGCTATTAATTTTATATCTCACATGCAGTTCACTGTAAAGCTACTTGGTGAAGGTGTTGGTTCATAAAACATGAACAGTTTTAAGAAAGAAAAAAACAGACCAGTTCTGAGAACACAAATTCCTGGTAAAGTAGTAGATGTTCAGGTTGATAAATAATATTTTCCACACTGAAGATTATGGAGGTATTGATCAGTCTTCTCATATTTTTAAGCCTCGATTTCTCCTTCCCCCCCCTCTAACATCACCAGAAGTCATCATTTAAGGGGTCATTTCTCGAAAAAAAAATTCGGGGGGAAACCCCCCGGGTAGGTCACTTGCGGTACGTCAAGAGCCCCACCAAAAAAAAAGACCACCGGCCGCCACTGAAGATATCTGAAAAGCAAGTTGACAAGAAGTCCAACTTTGTCTATTGTTTTGTTAGTGATAAGGTAATGACTTTACAATGTGGATTGAAAACATTTACAAATTCTCAGCGAACAAGGTTTATGAAGGACACACTTTTTTCATCCTTTCCAGAAAAGTCTATGTTACAAGGGTAAATATATATATTATATACTTTAACTAAAACAAATCTAATATTCTCCTAATCATACCACAAATATAATTAGCTTGAATACTGTGAGCACAGGTCTTAATACTATTATCTTTCTCTAAGTATACAGTTAATTAAGAAACACATGTTAAAACACTGAGACCTCAATGTGTAGCCATGATAAGATTTATTGTCCAGAGTCTTACAATGTACATTAAGTCAGGGTCTCTGAAAATGTAAGGGTTAACGTTTGGAGGGTGCTAAAACGTTGTTAAAAGTCTGTTACCTTCTTCAAAACTGCACCAGGTAACTTGCAAAGAGGGCTTTACACACTGAAATAAAAACATTGTGAAGTGCAGGTTTAAAGGCTGAGGGCTGTTCTCATTTCTCTGATTGTGCATCCTTTTCTTGTGTCTTACTGAAGCAACAGGAAGCAAGGAAGAGACATGAGGAGATAGGAGTCGAGGCAACCAAAAAATAAGACATCTATGCTTCGGAGCAATCATTTTAGTCAATTAAATGTAACTGTAATCTGTCCATTGTCACGCCAATTTCTATGTCAATGATTATGAAAGAATACACCTATCCATACTCTGCTCGAGACATCCTTCCTTCAAAAGTACACTGAGATACATTTCTGGGTCAAAGGCAGGGCGATAGAGGAGACCAAACAAAGAAATGAGAAGAGCGGCAAGATTTGAACATGTGTAGCCCCTTGTAGGAGTGCTCTGTTGAGTGGACAACAAAGGGGAAGCTCTAAGGTAGCAGTTATGCAGCTGCAGCGGGACAGGAGAGAGGCTGCACTCCTTTAATCTCTAGAGCCTTGTTGAACTGCACCTCCATGGTCTTAGAAGCTTTGGTGATCTTCAGGTTCCTCATACAACCTCTGAAGGAAGTGCTGGTGGAGAGAGCCGCCTGCCGAACTCCACCTGAGAGAGAAAGAAAAACAGGACCTCTCACATATTTGTATTTAAAGGTCCCCTATTATACTGTTTTTCATCAATATATTATAGGTCTCAGATATATACAAACATGTCTCTGAAGTGTTTGGCTCCGAATACCAAACAGATCATTGCAGCATTACCCATAATCCCCTCTGTTTCAGCCCTGTTTCAAAAGTGCTGATTCTCTGTCTGTTACTTTAGATCAGGGGTGTCAAACTCAATTTCATCCCGGGCCACATCAGCATTATGGTTGCACTCAAAGGGCCGGTTGTAATTTGTATTATATATAAATATATGTAAATATATAATATATATTAAATAATGTAAATAATATTATATTACATTGTTGGCCCTGGATTGGATTATTATCAGTTCTGGTAATATCTTCCTAAATAAGTACGTCTGAAAGCAGAACTCTAGGGCAAATAATTGAAAGCAAATATTCAACAATTACACCAATTGTATTGTATATTATATTCTTTGCAAGCTCTTGCGGGCCACATAAAATGAGGTCGCGGGCCGGATTTGGCCCCCGGGCCTTGAGTTTGACACCCCTGCTTTAGATGAAAATAAAGAGCCCCTCCCCACGCCCCTCTGAGAGATATTTGGTTACAAAGAACACAATGGTGCTCTAGGAGGAGATTCAGGTGATAAGGTGGGGGGGGGGGGTGTTACCTTGGTTGGTGATTGGCTAATGATTACTCAAGCCAAACAATCGTTATGACATCATAAAGTGGCCAAAATCTGATCAGCTCATTTTCAGACAGGTTTTTATATAAATGGATCAGGACAAAAAGTGAGAGAATCTTTTTTCCTGAAACTTTCAGAATCTCTTTACGCAGAGGGGACACATGTTGATGTAGAAGAGACATGGAAAAGTGGATTTTGCATGATAGGTGACCTTTAAAGTTGCTCTTTGATCCACAAAATGTACTAATACTAATGTGTTTTCAATGTATACTAAGGTATAATACTGAGTATGTGAGTTAGAAAGCAGTCGTACCCGGATATCCTCCGACGTAGATGGGGTCGTTTGTGTCACACGTGTTGGAGCGAGCGTTGGGGCTCTCTGATTGGCTCTGCTTCTCGTCCACCACCAGCTCCACGCGGTGCCGCAGCTTCTTGGCAGTGACCGAGTGCCACTGGCCGTCGCAGAAGCCCTCGCCCTCAGGCACGTGCTCCGCTGTGATTCGTCCAGCTCCGTTGTCAACGTGGAAGAGCAGCTGGTGACAGGAAGGGGAAGAAATGCTTGTTTTAAACGATATTTTTGAGATGTTATGCATATGTATCTAAGTACATGTTTTGTTCTGTGATACTTTAAACCAAGCTATTGCTAGGAGAAGCTCAGTCGTTACTTCTAAAGTAGATTAAAGGAATAATTCACCCTTCACACTTATTTGTTTTCTGGTTAAGATTGAGATGAGAAAGTAATACTTCTTGTATGATAGGTTGGACAGGACAGCTGTTTCCAGTTCTTTTGATCTATTATTTAACAGTCGCTTTTTCTTCTCAATTTCTAGTGGAAATTGAATAACTATTTCGTCAATGTTACGTACCTTGCCCTCGACAATCTCTAGTCCCAGTCCATCGTTGGCTTGGTTACTGATGCCCAAAAGCACCCCATTGGTTCTGCTGGTCCTGAACTCTAAGGCTATCGACACATCCAGACCCACTCTGTAGGAGGAGACTAGAGAGAGGGAAGGATGCATTAATGTTCACCTTTCATAACAAGAACATTACATTTTACCTGAGAAAAAGTAGAATCAGATGTTTGCTGAGGAACAAGTTTGCAAGCGACGTCTCAGTGTCTCCTCTCACCTGCTTTCAGGAAGCCAGTGCCTTCAAAGTAGGTGCCCGTCTCCGTAGCAACAAAGCATCTTCCCACCATGTGACTGGAGGAAGGCGTGGCCATGTCCAATTTAAAGTCCTCAATGACAGCCTCAGCGCGGCCTAGCAGAGAGACAAAGTAATCAGTTGAATACATTCCTGTCAGTGAGTTCCTAATTTGCCACATCACGTTCCTCCCTTAGTGACTGTCTCCTTACGTTTTGCACGACACTGTTTCAGAATGATTTACAGAAGCCCTGGGAAGCATGTAACCCACGTGTCTCTTTCTCTTCCTGCCTCTTCTCTTTCCATTTAGGACCACATCTACAAACTGATGAAAAGTGACAGCTACACATGCTTCCTGCGCTCCAACGTGTACCAGGACCTGCTGATGGCAAAGAAGAAAGTAAGCATGTCTGTCTGTGTTTGTCCCACAGGTCGATCTCTCTGCACATCACTGATATACTCAATGTGTGATTACACACGGCAGGAAGTGAGGTCATATACCAGGCAGGTCGCTTTGTAAGGAGGCAGGAATGAGAGGTCTTATTTTTTACGTTATGTATTGACTTGGGTTGTCCCTACATGAATGTTGCTCAAAATACTAACCCATGTTTTTACAGGCAGACGAGAATACACAAAATAAAGAAACATGTCCTATCTTAATCTGTAATAATGTGAACAAATCTGCTCAAGTGTGTGAGATTCATACGCTATTTAAACACTGAATTGTTGAACTGTTCCTCTTGTGATTTTTCTCTTGGACTCTCAGCCTGAAACGGAGCAGGGCCGACGCACCTCTCTGGAGAAGTTCACTCGCAGTGTGGTGAGTGTCCCTCTGCTTATAACTCTTCAACTGCATTCATTCAATTACAAAGAGTTGTTTTTTTCAAAAGTCAGCAGATTGACATATTATAGCATTTCTGTTTTTTGCTATACAATGACTTTCTTTTCAATTTCTTTACATACTATTGACCTTATCATGATATTTTGTAACAAACTGTACTATGACGTTTTACACATTTTTCGACATGCTATACTATGACTTTTTTAAGACAATTTTAAGACATGCTACACCATGACTAATTGACCTAACCATTTCAGACAAACTAGTTCATGACATTTATCATGATTTTTTGTGACGTAGTATACTATGAGTTTTTTTTCAAATGCTATACTATGACGTTTTTTCTACATACTATACAATGACTTTTTCATGATATCTTTTAACATGCTATACTATGACGTTTTTCTAAATGTTCATTATATTATATATTTTTAATATTACTTTTTCAATGTACTTTATTATGTCTAAATACTATTACTTTTTCAGATTTTCCACATAGTACTACAATGCCTTTTTAAATTCTTTAACTTTTTCATGACTGCTCCACCGAGGCATTTTCTTGTGGTATCATTACTTAACATCATATGTTGTCCACTTACCACCCAGCACCAACGCTTTGATACGTCTCTGCAGTCTTTCTTTTCTTTAACTTTTCCTCCCACACTGCTCCTTCGTTAAGCTCTTAAGGTGACAGCTGTCCCCCTCCCTCCCTTTATCTCTCTGCCTCCCATCAGGGCAAGTCGCTGACGGGCAAACGGCTGACGGGCCTCATGCAGTCATCCTGACCAGGCTTGGATGAAGAGTAGGAGGAACCGTACCCAGAAGAGCTGCTTGCCCCTGGGGAGCAGCTGGAAAAAGACCCTGGGGTGTTTGGGTGTGGCTTTGGGAGGCGGATGATGGCGCCAAAACGAGCCCAGACTGCCACCATGTTTGAAACTCACCTCAGATCTGTTGAAGAGGACTGACAGCATGCAATAAGTCACCAGACCTGACACCAGGACAGTGCTGTCACAGTGTAGAGGAAAAAACAATCTTCTTAGGAGCTTTCTACTCAAAAGCCTGCACCACGCCAGGCTTTGTTGTCACTCTTTGTTTGTCTGTACTATCTACACACATGTTGCTATATGGTGGCTGGAGAGGCTTTACTTTCAGTGATATAAACATGGAATGCAAATGAGACTTAGATTAATGCTGTAGCTAGCTGTTTTATCTCACGTCATTCCCTAGGATGATATAAGGGAAAGAGAGTGACGAAGTATACATATCCGCACTCTCGAGCTGAACTTCTGCTCATTCCACACATTGATGTTCAAACAGGTGGAGTAGGCAAATTAGCTTTTTGATCACTGTCCTTATGTGGGATGGCACAAGATTGAAAACGTGGTTTAGTCGGTTACAATGTGTGTTTACATGTCGTTCAAACTAATGCCTGTTTTCATGCTCATTACAGACAAAAACTACAGAACTTTATATTATTTCCTGTAAACACCTTGACCTGCTCTGGTACAGTAGGTTGTTCCTGGAAAGCAACCTATTTTCGTTTCACACCTATGACACACACAACATATTCTATATCTATTTCTTAGGTTATTTAACATATCTACAACAATTCTACTTTCATGTGTTATCACTGCCACTGTCATTTTGAACGAGAATGTCTTCAAAGCATTGTACAAACCACGCTGAACAAACAGAGGTGTGATCTTGTTTTCATCACAAGGTAAGAGCAGGTTGATCATATTATAAAAACATAGTGTGTAACTTTTAAATGAGCACGCTGATAGGCTTTAATCTTCTGAACATTCCACTTTAGGCGGCCACAACAAGGTTTATAGTGGACTGACCTCCAACCATCCTCACCTAATGTAAAGAGGACCATGATAATAAATGAGGAATGCACAATGAAGCTGGTCTGTTATTTCATGTTTTTCCATTTAATTCCTCCAGGAGCCTCAAAGGAATCACGAAAAGGAGCAAATAGTCGACTTTTGAACTGTGATCCATCTGACAGGTACTTCTCTCTTCTTGTAGTCATATAGCGCCCTCTTGTGCATCCCAGAAGTCAATACAGGAACATTTATTTTAGTGTTACAGGATATATGCAGGAATACTGAAACAAAATTGAATACTTTTTTAACCCTGATCAAAATAATGTATTAAAAGGTTATTCTATACTATGACACTTTTCAGACATACTATATTATAACTGTTTTTCCAAATGTTCGACCTACATAATTATATATTTGTTCATGTTTTTAAGACTTTTTCAGTACACTATAACTTAGTATGACGTTTTTTTGAACTACTATATATTTATTTTTACATACTATAATATTTTTCGACATACTATTTCATGATTTTTTAGACTTACTTTATTATAAATGGACATACTGTAAGATAAAATCAGCTTTAAACTTTTTTTTAAGGCCCTGTGGAGATATGTTCTGACATTTTCTGAAGAATGGCAAGCTATTACTTTTTAATAAATAGCAATTAGGTAGGAGAAACACCACTGAAATCCTTATAGAAGTAGTTGGTCTGAAGTTTTTGCTAATGTAAGATATTGGGAATGTTAATTGTCTTAAACTTCATTACGCAGCAGTGGTTGATCTAGTCAGAGCCTTTTGACAGCTTGTAGGTGTCTCTATCATAGTAGCTGTGAAGTAGCACCACCTGGTGGAGCTTGAGTAAAAAGCAGCAACAGGTTTGTTTTTCAAGCATCTCTTGAATCGTAATCTTTATCAATTCAGTCTTAAAACCACTTAACTTTAAAGACTACTCTCATTTTACTTTTAATCCTGCAAACTTCCCCTACTAGTCATATTCTGCAGTTTTAAAGAAGGGCAGGACAATATGTTTGATGCTATTAAAGGTGGGGTAGGTAAGTTTGAGAAACCGGCTCGAGATACACTTGTTATATTCCATGGAATGCTCTTAGCATCCCGATAGCAATGAATATCTTAAGTGCTTTGACAAAAAATCCATAAAAAAAAATGTCATCTGTGGAAGCCGTAGTACTGTAAAAAGTACGACCAATCATTTTAGCCGGACCGGCTAAAATAACTGGATGGATTTACCTACCCCACATTTAACCTGTTAAGCCCTAAGCCTGTTTTTCAGATTTCAGGCTCGAAAATGCCACTAACACAACAAAGACTATATCTTCACTTCTAAAAGGGGTAAATTAATAATATGTTTTCTCAAAGCAAGGTTACATCTGTGAGTTGGATGTAGAAGTGTCAGAATCAATATAGATGTTTTTATTTTAAAATAAATTCATATGGAACATAGTAAAAACATGTAAATTCTATCTCCGCCTAAAAAAAACCCATTACTTATAGTGAAAACCACCCTTGAATGATGGGTTAGTAGACTAAAAGCTTTAGGAATCCAAACTATAACATAATAAGTACCCTGTATCAAGATTGATGCAAAACAAGTGACATTTGACCTTTTTAGAGAGGTTTAGAAAAATAAAGTCCAGGCGGACTCACCTCTGGGTAATTTGGGAACCATCAGTTCCATTTTCACTGTAAAAATCATTTTATTACTTTGAATTATCACTATAGGTATTCATTCCATCCAAATACAACTGTTGTAAAAAAAACAATTAAAAAACAAAAACATGCAAAATGAAGTTTGACTCCAATTGGAGCAGATTTATTTAAAACTTTACAATGTTACAACTTAGGCATGCCACTCCTCGTAACAATTTTTTTTGGAAGTGAAGCACAGAGGGACCTCACACTTCCTGCAGTACACAGCTGTCTTCACCTTCTTTTTGCCAGCATCATGGCAGTTCCTGCAGTTCTTCCTGATACTGACATCTTTCCCATAAAACTTGGGCCCGCATGGTGGTGGTGGGGGGCCGGGGGGGGATCGTGGGTGGAGGTGTTCCAAATTCCAACATTTCAGAAGCAAGCTGCTCCCTGAAAGTCTTCTGTGTGTGTGGCTTTGTCCCGCTGGGGTCACTCGTCATCTTGTGCAGCTCCTTGTGGAGAATGAAGCTGTTCATCACGGCAATGTCCACAAAATGGTAAAAAAAAGTCTTGTACCATTTCATCGTTTTGTGGAGAAGGCTGCGTTTTACACATTTATCTGATGCTTTTCCTTTTCCTGGCTGAGGAGCGGGAGCCCCACCTCGGCCACGCTTCCTTTGGTTTACAGATGCATCTGACGCTGCAGAAAGCTGGTAGAAACCAGACGATGGTAGCTTTGGAAGTGAGTGCTTTTTGGATGCAGGCTGAGTGGCCAATACTGGTGCAGATCTCTTTCTAG